TGAGAGTTGAATTCTGACACCACGGAGGCCTCTGGAAGGCCGAGCCCAGGGCGCCACACCCCCTGCCCCTGCCATTGTCTCCTCAGGAAACCTGCTCTCCCCAGCGCCCATGGACTGGGACATGTTGATGGAACCCCCCTTCTTGTTCACGGCTGTGCCCTCTGATGGGGAGTCTGCACCCCCAGCAGTGCCACTGCCTCCGCAGGCTCCACGCTGCCACGTGGTGATCCGGGCCCTGCGTGGGGAGCAGCCTGTGTGCTGGGAGGTGGGTGTTGGGCTAGAGACACTCTGGGGGCCTGGGGATGATGGCTCACTGCCTCCATCACCTCACGAAAGAGAAGGTGCTTGGGACCAAGCACTCCATCGGCTGACAGCAGCGTCTGTGGTCCGGGACAATGAGCAGCTGGCTCTCCGAGGGGCTGAGACCATGGCTGACTGGGGTGAGTTGCTGGTGGGCCCAAGGAGGCAGAGTGGCAGAGGTATGAGTCTGTTTGATCACTCTCTCTATAGATCACCTTGCACATAAACAATTTGAGGTGGCTCATCCACATTTACAAGGGGAGAAATTAAGCAGGGCAATTGCGGGGGGGGGGGGGGGGAGGATAACAAAAGAGAGAATGAGGTTTTATTAAATACTAGAGGCCTGGTGCACGAAATTTATGCACTGGGATGGGAGGGTGTCCCTCAGCCCAGCCTGCATCCTCTTGCAACCCAAGAGCCCTTAGAGGATGTCCCACTGCCACCATCACTGCGCTTGCCAGCCGTGAGCCTAGCTTCTGGCAGCTTCTAGCCGAACTCACTGACCACCTGGGGGCAGCTCCTGCATTCAGCATCTGTTCCCTGGTCGTCAGTGCACATAATAGTGACCTGTCATCCCACAATTCAGTTGATTTGCATGTTAGCCTTTTATGCCTGTGGGAGTGGGCTGAAACTAGCTCTCCAACATCCCCCTAGGAGTCCCAGATTGCAAGAAGGTGCAGGTCCAGCCAAGGTACCCCACCGGTACACCCTCAGGGCCAGGGAGGGACACAGGAGGTTTGATAGCCGGGGAGGAACTGTGGGAGGGCTCCAGGGCATGTCTGGCCTCTCTCTCAGTCCCGATCGGCCAGACCCCAGCAGCAAGCTAATCTGCCAGTCAGAGTGTCTGCCCCCCTGGTGATCAGTACACATCATAGCAAATGGTTAGTGGTCTTAGCATATCGTTAACATATTAAGCTTTGATTGGTTAAATGGATGACCAGATGACTGGACACTTAGCATATTATGCTTTTATTATATAGGATGCACACCATGAGGTTATGTGCCTTTGCAAGTATGTGACCCAAAATTGGCAAGCTTCTTAGCAGCCAATAGAGAGAAATGAGATCTTGTAAGGATTTTTAGCGCCCATAACATAAAAACAAATGTCACTCAGAAAGACTGTTAAAACCAAGAAAAGCTAACATTTCAGTTCCTCAGTTACACTAGCTATATTTCAAGTGCTTGAATCACACACATATAGGACATTTCCTTCCTTACAGAAAGTTCTATTGGACAGTGTTGAAATGAGCAGGTAGAAAAGGCACTGGTCCATGCTTCCTGAATGGTGTCCAGAATATTGAATTTCTGGATGGCCAAGAGGCATAGCCCTGCTATGGATTAAGGATTCAGCTTACCCACTTCTTGCTAAAGTTGGCAAGTTGGTAAGCTGGTCCAGATCCTGAGAAACTTTACTCTGTCCAAAAGTGAACAGAGAAGCTATGGGAACACTGAAGTGTTTTTCTTTGAAGCCCTAAGCAGAGGGTGGGCGGTGGGAGTGCACCTCGGCCTGGTCAGCAAACTGCTCCTTGGTTTCACAGGCCATGCCCGGCGGTCCTGGCTCCGAGCCCTTCAGACAAGCAAGGTCAGCTCTGCCCCCTCCTGCTTCACCTGCCCCGTAGCTGTGGACGCTGCCAGTAGGGAAGTCCTGCCCTTCGCCCTGCAGGTGCGGAGCTCAGGTAGAGTCCCTCCCAAGTGTCCTCTCAGGTGCTGCCCTCACCTTACTGGCCACACACCCGGACAGACCTCTGCCCTGTCTTCTATGCCCCTGCAGAGCCAGTGGAATCCCCAGGCACCCCTCCTGCCTCTCAGGGCCATCTAGATGCAGCTCTGCCCACAGCTGTCCAGTGCAAAGGTAACACTCAACTCTGGGCCAATGGCAGGGAGCACCGAGCTTAGGGATCACCGCTGGCACTGATTGGTTCCATTGCAGGCCTTCAGGGAGGCGCTCTGGCAAGTGGCTCAGATCTAGAACAAAACGGCCACTCCAAGTCTGCTTGGGAGGATTCTGCAGCCCCTCCCCGAGGTCCTCACACCGTGCCCCCTCGGCCTCCTTTGAAGCTCAGCCTGGGCCATCGGAAGCCCAGAGGCCCAGACAGCCACAGACCCTGCAGCCCCAACACAGGCCAGGCCAGCGACGGCAACAGCGAAGGCAGCAGCCATGACTACTTGCCCTTGGTGAGGACTCGGGAGGTGGAGGGTGGTGTTGCAGGGCCAGGGCGCTGTCTCAGCTCACTTCTCCCCCCACCTCCTCTCTCCTCAGGTGCGACTGCAGGAGGCACCGGGCTCCTTCCGCTTGGACGCGCCCTTCTGCACCGCGGTGCACATCCCACAGGAGCGCCTGTGCCGCGCCTCGCCCTTCGCCGTGCACCGTGCCAGCCTCAGCCCCACCTCGGCTTCATCTCCCTGGGCACTTCTGGGCCCTGGGGTCAGCCAGGGAGACAGTGCCACGGCCTCCTGCAGCCCGACCCCCAGCTCAGGCTCCGAGGGTCCCGGCCAGGTGGACAGCGGGCAGGGTTCAGACACCGAGGCCTCAGAGGGGGCCGAGGGGCCGAGTGGAACCGACCTGCGGGGCCGGACCTGGGCCACAGCAGTGGCACTTGCGTGGCTGGAGCACCGCTGTGCTGCCGCCTTCGGCGAGTGGGAGCTGGCAGCAGCCAAGGCGGACTGTTGGCTGCGGGCACAGCACCTGCCCGATGGCCTTGACTTGGCGGCGCTCAAGGCCGCAGCCCGGGGTCTTTTCCTGCTGCTGCGTCACTGGGACCAGAACCTGCAGCTACACCTGCTGTGTTACAGCCCGGCGAACATGTGAAGGCTGCCCACTGCTGGGCTGGCAGCCCCCAATGGAGTCAAGTCACTGCCACCCGGGCCGGCTTCTCGGTGCCGGGAAGGGGAAGGACGGTGACAGCCTGACCCCACTGCTTCTCATCCCCTTCCAGACTCCTCTTTCCCACAGAAAGTGCCTGCCTGTGCTCTCTCCCGCTCCTTTCACCCCAGCTTCTTCCCCTCTGAGCTCTGTACAGTTCGGTAAAAGAGGAGAGAGCCACAGCCCCCAAATCCTATGCAATAAAGTGCCTCTTGCCCTGACTGGTTTGGCTCAGTGGATAGAGCATTGGCCTGCGGACTGAAGGGTTCCAGGTTCGATTACAATCAGGGGCATGTGCCTTGGTTGCGGGTACATCCCCAGTAGGAGGTGTGCAGGAGGCAGCTGATCGATGTTTCTCTCTCATCGATGTTTCTAACTCTCTGTCCCTCTCCCTTTCTCTCTGTAAAAAAAAAAGAAAGGAAAAAAAAAGTGCCTCTTCAAACTGCCTGAATGAGTTCTTTATCTGCCTCATGCATACCCCTCACAGGTTAGTCTAGGCACCTCCATGTAGGCTGCACAGAAGTGGACTTGGTAAGATTTATTGGGAGGGGCACAGAGTCCATCCACGTCCAGGGTCCTGAGAAGGGGGCAGCGGTGATCTCAGTGGGCTTTCTTGCTGTGCTGGGTGCTCCCGGGGAAAGGCTGGGGGCCCAGCCAGAGCTGCAGCAGGATGACAGCATGGCACGCGTGCAGGGCAGCGGAGCTGCAGGACGTGGACGGGTATGTGTTCCAGGAGAGCTCGATGAGCCCCAGCACCAGCAACCTGGGGATGGGAAATACGCTCCGGAGTTAGTCCAGTGTCTAGGCCCCAGCCCCTCCATGGTCCCTAACCCTAACCCATTCCCCTCCCCAGGCTGTCCCAGCCAGTACCTGAGCAGGTGTGTGAGCCAGCGTGCAGGCGTGGCCCACAGGAGGTAGGGCAGCGTGTGGAAGTACCAGACGTAGAACTGGTAGTGGAGAGAACGGCTGAAGCAGATGCCAATGAAGTTGGAGGTGAAGAGGGTGGACACTATCTGTATGCAGTGGTCAAGGCCAAGGGCAGGAGCAGAAGGGCCAGGGGCTGGGGCTGGGGCCGGGCAGGGAGGTTCCAAAGCAGAGGGGTAAGAATTTTTGGATCAGATAGCCCCCTGGCTCTACCATTCCCAGATGAATATCTTTGAAAACCTTTTTTTTTTTTTTTTTAATGTATTTTATTGATTTTTCACAGAGAGGAAGGGAGATAGAGAGTCAGAAATGTCGATGAGAAAGAAATGCCGACCAGCTGCCTCCTGCACACCCCCCATCAGGGATGTGCTCACAACCAATGTACATGCCCTTGACCGGAATCGAACCCGGGACCTTTCAGTCCACAGACTGACGCTCTACCACTGAGCCAAACCGGCTTCGGCTGAAAACGTTCTTAACCTCTCTGGAATGCTCCTCAATCTGAGGTGGAGACAGGGATACTTAGGGCCATAAAGCCTGGTGAGTCCATCACTTCCTAGCTGGGTGATCTCGGTGAATTATTTAACCACTTAAAGCCCTAATGTTGCCAGCTGTAAATGAGGATAATAAATATACTTCCTATATCAGGGTCTCCTATAAGCTTTAAATGTTAGCACAGCACCAGGCAGTGGATGAACGCTCATAACAATGATATTTGAAGTTATGAATAAATATGCTCATATATGTAAATGCTCAGCACAGTGTTTGGTGCGGAGCAGGAGTTCTAAGAAGGGCCCTATAGCTATTACTGGTGCCTCTTTTACCCCCCTTCCTCCAGGTCACCAGCCATCCAGAGCCACCTGACCAGGACCCTGTCTGCACCTGGAGAGGGCAAGACTTACCTTCCCATGACTTAAAGGATATGATTGGGTGTGAGGGGTTGAGGTGGAACCTTCCTTTTGGAGGGATCCTTCAGCAGCGACAGAATACTTTCCCCCGTCCTGGGGAAAAGCCATTCAGACATTCATCAAGCTCTCATCCTGGGCCAAGCTCTAAAATTCACCTCCATGAGCTCAACATCTCCCCTAAGCAGCCCCTAAGGCCCAGGCCCTTCACTCCCTCCCCTGCATCTGCCCTTGGCACTGCTCCCCGTTCTCACCTGTGCCACCTGCAGAGAACGAAGAGCAGGAGCAGGGCGAGGTGGGTGGCCAGCAGTGCCAGGTGGAAGGCGCGATGCAGGAAGAGGCTCTCGGGGAGGAAGCGCCAGTTCACTGTCCAACGGAAGAGAAACTGGCGGCCAAGGTCAAAGGAGCGGGACAGGTACCCGACGGGGTTCTCCAGCAGGAAGGGCAGCCCCAGCACCACCTGAGATGGATGCAATGTCAGCAGAGCTGCCCCGGCCCACCCCAGCCTCATACTAGTCAGGAGAGTGGAAATCGGTGTGGGTCTCAGAGGTTCCTTAATTCCCGAGGACTCCCACCCGCCCCCTTTTCCCCCCCCTTCATCAGAGCCTGGGGCCAAAGAGGAAGCTGAGGAGGCAGGTAATGACAGTGCTTTAATGGGCAGAGCTAGAAAGGCCCTAAGAGACCATCTAGTTCAGCATCTTTATATTACAGCAACAAACAAACAAAACCGCCCAGAGAGGTAGTGGCTACCCAGTCCAGAATCAATTCCAAAACCCTTGCCTCTTGGCTGAGAGGAAGTCTCAAGGAGGGAAGGGGGCCATCTTTAAAAAGGAGTGAGGCGGGAGTACCTGTAGGACAGCACAGATGCCCAGCTTGGGGAGGGTCCCACGGAGGCCAAATTGTGTGAGGAGAAGGAATAGTAATCCAGGGGCAAAGAGAAGCACATTCATCTTCACAGAGACTGCCAGGCTAGGGTGCGGAGAAGAGATAAGGGTGGAAATCAGCTCCAGGGCTATGCACCCCCACCACCACCATCCAGGCAACTCCTCCCCTCCACCACCAAGCTGCAGGATAGCTCGGTGTGCTGGGCAGCGAAGCTGAAGGACGCGGATGGGTATGTGTTCCAAAAGAGCTCTATGAGCCCAGCACTAGCAACCTGGAGACAGGGCCCACACTCAGAGCTGCGGGAGGGAGGGGAAGGTAGCCTGGGAGGAAGCTGGGGATCGGGAAGAGATACCTAGTCTCTATGCCCAGACTGAGCAAACAAATATATACTGAATATTAGGAATATGAATGACCGACTCCAATACAACTGTGAATTGTGGGTTGGAGTGGCGCCTTTCTACAGATCCTGGACTCACCTAGTGGGGCCTAACTGACCCACATTGTCTGGCCACGCCCTTGCTGCAGAAATTTAGGGGAAAAGTGATGGAAATACAATAGTAAGAAAGGGGACCAGACGGGAGGGATGCTGACCTGAAACAGCAGCAACCCCAGCCCCAGCGCCGGGCCAGGAACAGGTTGATACTGAGGAAAAGCAGCGCCATGGCCACCGGGTCATTGAAGAGCCGCAGCACGAAGATGGAGTGGACACGGTAAGAGGCACAGCACATGAAGAAAAAGACGAAGGGAGGCACCTAAGAGGTGGGCACAGAGGGGAAGAAGGTCAGCTCACCAACCCTGAGCCATCACCACACCTCGGCCCTCCCAGGGTGGAGACCCAGGTCCTGGTATTGTGGACTCACCTTGCAGGTCTGGTGGTAGATCAAAAAGACAAGCAGCAAGGTGGCCAGGTAGAGCACGGCAAAGATATGCTGGGCCATGCGGATGTCCGTGCCATGGCCGGTGACATAGTACAGCCCCATAAAGATGTACACGAAGCCGGCTGGGTATCTAAAAGAGGAGGGGGAACGTGAATCTGGGACCAGATACCCTGCCTTGTCTCCAGTCAGAGCCCCCCCATCCCTGCTGAACCTGCTACCCCCACTCACACAAGAGGTCCAGTGTCACCCTGCAGTTGGGTGTAGTCATAGGTGCCGTTGATGACGCCCTCCACCTCAGCCATGTAGGCCTTCCAGTCAATCTCTGTATCTGGAAAAGGAAAGGACGGTGTGGTTACTTCCGAGTCCAAAACTTGTCTGCCCCCCAACCCATCCAACCCATCCAAGCACCGAGTTCCAGGTCACCCTCAGGGCTTCTATCACAACCGCTTACCTAACTGCCTACGTGACATTCGTTGGGTGAACCCAGGCATCTCAAACTGTTTCTAACTGAACTCATAACCTACTCTAAATCTGCTCCCCTTCCTGACTTCCATTGAAGTCAGGACCATCAACCTCTCTGTTGCCCAAGTCACAAAACTGAAACTTCCTTCTCTCTCATTTCCAACCCCCATTACCATGTCCTGTCTACACATCTCTACTGTCTCATCCTTCTCAACTATTATATAGCAAATTTGGGCCTAACGTAATCTCTAGCCTCAATGATGTAACAGCGCCCTTATTAGGCTCCCAGATTTCACGTTCACCTCACCACAATATATTTGCCACCCTGCAATAGCTCTTCCTATTGTAGAAACCTATCATGTCTCTCTGCTTGAAATCCTTCAACGATTCCCTAAGGCTGTTAAGATAAAGACCAAACTCTGTTACTGTCAGTTTAGAAGAGGAACCTATGAATTATTGAGGGTAAGTGACTAGCTCAAGATCAGCAAGCTAGGAAGAGCAGAACTGAAACTGGAATTCATAGGATCCTAGATTCTTAACCACTAACTTTACTGCTATCTCCTTAACACAGCTTACTGACTCCTCTATAATCTAGTCTCAACTTCTGCACACTCATTTTAGTACTGGCCTCACTTGAATTCTATGTTCCAGCTCTAAAGAGACTCCAGGCCCAGCAGGCGTGGCTCAGTGTAGAGCATTGACCTAGGAACGGGGAGGTCTCAGTGATTCCCGGTGGGGGCACATGTGTTGGATGGGCAGGAGGCAGCAGATCAATGATTCTCTCTCATCATTGGTATTTCTATCTCCCTCTCCCTTTATCTTTGACATTAATTAAAAAATATAATAAAAATAAAAAATAAATAAACCCCAGAATTGAACAGATGAGACCCAGCTGGGGAAGTGACATGTCCAAAGCCACAGAGACAAGCAGCAGCAGCAGCAGGACATTCACAGACCCAGGTCTTTGACACCAGGCTGGCGGGCTGTACCTTCAGGGCAGAGGACCAATCTCTAGAGTTCCCCCTTTCGTCATGTGGGAGGGATTATCAGATCGGGTTTGGTTTTCGGTAGAGCAGGCTTGGAACTTGGGGTAAAAGATATGGGTCTGCAATTGATGACTAAGTGGACCTGGGGTCTGGGTCTGAGCTCCGAATCTGAGTCCCGGTTTGAGTAGGGCGTTCGAGTCCACCTCCCTCCCGCCTTCTCCGCTCCCTTCCAGTCCCCTCCCCCTCGGCGCACTCACATGCCACCCTGTGAATGACCCAGAAGGTGATGCCCACCTCCGCCAGGCAGAGGCAGGCAGCCACCAGCAGCGTGTAACGCGGCTCCAGCAGCAGTAGACGCCGCTCTTGCCAGGCGCGCCGCAACCACTGCTCGCAGAGTCCCGCCACCCGGGGTGGGGGTCCCGCCCGGGCGCGTTTCCGTACGCCCGCGGCCATCTTGTCGGTGCACCGTTCATATGGGCCCGCCACCCTGGAAACCGGACCCTTTGGCACTTACGTTCCGCTCTGAGCGCCGGTCAGCGTCCTTATTTCCTACGCTAAAATGTACTCCTTCTACATCGGTCTCTCCTGATGGACTGCACGTTCCCTACGAGCAGGAATGGTCTTACTCTTCCGTATCTACTTAGCCCTGGGTACCCAGGAGCTCAGATGGATGGAACATTTGCCCAGAAAAAACAACACTCCTGCCCGTGCCCTCCCCTTTCCCCGTCCCCTCTCCCCCTCCAGCCATCCCTCCCGGCCCAGTCTAACACTTCGCCGGTGTTGATCACATCTGTGTTCATGCCTGTGTCCACGCCCCCCTTCTGCCACCCCTCAGAGCCTTCCGGGTGCTCAAAACGGGGAAGAAACGGACCTTTCATTAATATTTCCCATTTAATGTAAGAAGCCGGCCAAATTGGAAATATGAAAAGGGACCGTGATGAACCAGAGTGAGTCTGACACTACGAGTGTGGTTCTCAGATGTGAGAAGTACAGCCGGAAGTTTCAGAGTCTGGACAGCCGGAAGATTCTTCGCTGCGCGCTCAGCCGAGGGCGGAAGTTCCACGTGTTTATGTTGGGCAACCTCAATTGGGGGCGGGGATTCTGAGGCCACGCCCCCAAGACAGGATCGTCCAACCGGCTTCGCAGGGGAGCCAAGCCCCGCCCTAAAGGTGCCGGCCGCCTGCCCTTCAGGCCCCGCGGCGCCAAGCATGGCCTCTCCCGGGACCCCCGAACCCCGGCCGGAGTTACCGGAGCACAACTCCGGGTACCGAGAGGTCCAGTACTGGGACCAGCGTTACCGGGACGCGGCCGACTCTGCCCCCTACGAGTGGTTCGGGGACTTCTCCTCATTCCGGGCCCTCCTAGAACCGGAGCTGCGGCCCGAGGACCGTATCCTGGTGTTAGGTGGGTAGTCCCGGCGCTGCCCAGCCCAGCCCGGCCCAGGTGGAGCTGACTGGACCGGCTCCGCCTCGGCGCCTCCGTCCGCTGGCCTCGCGTCTGTCCGCCCCTGACTGAGGATGCTCAGGTCAGGAGCCAAGATTCAGAATCTGGAGTCAGGGCAAACGGAAGCCCAGAGTCAGGTCCCTGCCCCCCCCTTTCCAACTCGGCAATCTCTCTGAGCTTGGGCGCGGTAGGTGGCCCGGGGCCCTGTTCCGCGCCCTCGGGAGGCAGCCGCCAGCACTGGAGAGCTCGGAGGATATAGTAAGTCCCTATGTTGGTTGGCTCTAGGACTTAGGAAGGGTCGTAAAACCGTCCTAAGCTTCGGAGTCGCTCCTAGAAATGGAACTGCGAGTTCCCGTCGGATAAGGCACGTGCAGGCATCCCGAGCACAGTGCATACCGCCTTTCTGTCTGCGCCAATGGGCACCGCGAGCTGTTTTGCACCTGGAGGGAGTTGCCACTTTCCAAACTCGAAAACTCGGTGTTATGCCCCGCTGGCAGTGATGAGGATAGCGCCCTCTGAGGTCAGAGGGGATATTGCCGCCGAGATTGATGAGATTCGAGGAAAAAGTACTACCGGTAGGCTGCAAGACGGGGCTTTGTCCCAGTGCCAGCCTTGGGGCGGGGGGGTGGGGGGGTGTTAGAGAAATTTGATTGAGCAACGGGATTCCTTCCAATTATAGTTTTTATTTTGGTATTTGTAAAAGCAATTATATGTTTAAGTGAAATATTTCATGTGCTCGCTTCGGCAGCACTATACTAAAATGGACACAGAGATTAGCATGGCCCCTGTGCAAGGATGACTCGAAAATTCGTGAAGCGTTCCATATTAAAAAAAAAAGAAAAGAAAAGAAGTATTTCATATACATGTCATCTGGAATACAGTATATGAAAGTTATAAATGATAAATCTAATATGTATGTGTATACCATACTCAGTTTGAAAAACAGAATATTCCTAGGACTAAAAGCAAGTATAACCTAGTGCTTAAGAACCTGGACCCTGGAGACAGCTAGTTCTGTTGGAATCTAGACTCATGTAATTTTAGCTGTGGAATAATGGGCGAAATCATGGAATCTTAACCATGTAGTCCTGGAAAAAATACTTAAATTTCTGTGCCTTAAAAATAAAAAGAGATTACTTATTTAGTGGGTTTTTAAGATGATTGAGTGAGTATGAGAGATACCCAAAACAATGCCTGGTAAAATAAAAGGCCCATGTATATTCAAGGTTTTCTGTGTAGTCCTTCCAAACCCCTTAACCTCCCAGAAGTAAAAACTCGAATTTCATGCTTTTAAGCCATTACATTTATGTATAGATTTACCATAGATCTGATTTTTTTTTAAGCTTTAGTGTGCATCTAAATCACCTGGAAAGCTGGACCCCCTCCAGGGTCAGTCTAAGGTGGGTCCTAGGAGTCTGTAGTTTCAGCAAGCCCACAGCGGATTCTCATGCTGAGAATAACACTGCCTTACAATCTCCTATACTGGAAGGGGAGAAAAATATTCTTTTCTGGAGAGGGGAGAAAAGTCTAAAAATAAAAAAGGAAAACTTTCCAGGCATTATTCCCAAGATCTAAAGAGAGGGCCCAGTTAGACCTGCGTGGCTCAGTGGTTGAGCATCAACCTATGAACGAGGAAGTCAGAGTTTCATTCTTGGTCAGGGCACAGGCCAAGGTTTTGGGCTCAACCCTCAGGGGGCATGCAGAAGCCAGCTGATCACTGATGATTCTCATCATTGATATCTCTCTCTCTCTCTCTCTCTCTCTCTCTCTCTCTCTCTCTCTCTCCCTTCCTCTCTGAAAACAATAAAAATATACTTAAAGAATAAATAAATAAAAAGAGGACCCACAACTTGGGGAGTACCTATGTTACATTCTACTTTAACAAACAAGCTGAGCACCTGATAGGTGCTAGGGAATGTGCTGGGTGGGCCCTTTCTAACCTAATATTTATGACAACCCTGAGAAGTGAGTAATAAGTATTACTAGACTTACTGTAAATCAGGGGTCAGTACTGTTTTTGAAAATGGCCAAATAGTAAATATTTGGGCTTTGTGGGCTATACAGTTTCTCTGACAATTAGTCAGCACTGATGTTTAGTAGAAAAGCAGCCACAGACAGTACATAAGTGAATGAGAATAGCTGTATTCCAAGAAAATTTTATTTACTAAAACAGGTGGCAAACTGACTTTGGTATTCCCTGCTGCAGATCATTGTCTCAGGTTGGGTCCAGAAAGAAATCCTAAGATTACGATTCATCTCCTAGTTCTTTGTTAGGGATGTGCTCCCGAAGCAATCAGCCAGAGAGTGAGTGAATAGAGAAGAGAAGAGACCAAGCAGGGCTGAAACAGGTTTGGCTCAATGATAGAGCATTAGGGACTGAAGGGTCCTGGGTTCGATTCCGGTCAAGGGCATGTACCTTGGTTGCGGGCATATCCCCAATAGGGGGTGTGCAAGAGACAGTTGATCAATGACTCTCTCTCATCGATGTTTCTAACTCTATATCTCCCTTCCTCTCTGTAAAAAATCAATAAAATATATTTTTTTTTAAAAAGAGAGAGAGACCAAGCAGGATTGTGATCACAGGTAAAAGTTTCCCTGAGGGTAGTTTCAGCCTGAAGAGTCACAGATGCAAACTCAGAATCAAGCACACCAAAACCTAGAGGTTTTGGTGTGCTTCAAACAGATCTGATCAGAGCACTGACAATGTCCACAGTTGTCACGAAGCAAGTAGATGGTGAAGTAAGGGTGCCATCTGACCCCAGAGCTTCTGCTGCTGCACCATGCATATGGGCATAGAGAGACATCTAGAACTCAGTTACAACTGATAAAATGACTAAAGATGGAATGTCACAACTGAAGGTGAGTGGACCTTCTGAAAACAGGAAACAGTTTTGCATAGTGTTTTAAGAGCTCTGATTCTGGCATGAAACAGGCCTATATCCAAATTCTACCGTTTCCCGAAAATAAGACAGTGTCTTATATTTTTTCTCCCAAGGTTGCGCTAGTTCTTATTTTCAGGGGATGTCTTATCTTTCCATGCGCTAGGTCTTATTTTCGGAGGGTGTCTTATTTTCGGGGAAACACGGTAACTCTACCACTGGACAATGTGACCGTGGGAAGTTTCTTACATACTTTGGGCAGCCTCAGTTTTCCCATCTAGAAAATGGTAATGATAATAACAGTTATCTTCTCTGTGAAGGTAGTATGAAGATAAACTGAGATAATGCTTAGAAATGCTTAGCAGAGGGCCCAGTGTTCAATGACTATTAGCCATCATCATCATTATTAAAAGTGGGAGTTAGAGGAACAGTTTATCACAAACCACTCAGATGACAGAGAGTACCCTGCCTGAAGACTTGTGTATCTGGTCCCTATGGCTAGAATATCCTCATAACAGATGAATGCATTTGGCTGTCCTAGCTTTGCCATCATTATACATCTCTGATTCTACATGTTCCGTAGGAATCTTATCATAATTTCGCTTCAGTTTGTATTTTCTATATATAGAGAAGGGACTGACCCAGGGGACTGACTGTCAAGTCCCCATGGTGGCTATTTTTCTTGTTATAAATTAGTGAATTGGCATTCTGGCTTACCCCTCATTCTCTTGGTGCTGGGATAGCATCCACATAGCTCTGGGCTCCTATGCAATGGGTTGTGGAGCTGCCTCAGTTTTCCAGGGCTCTACTTCTCCAAGGCTCCACCTCGGGAGGCAGGGACCTTCCCAAACCCCATCTTAGTTGCTAGCTCCGCATCACGGAGGCAGCAGGATCAGAAATCACTGCTTCGTAAGCATGACTGGCCCTGTGGTCAGATTTTGTTCTTCCTTCATCTTCAGTGAAGTTCTCTTGGGATATACCATTCCTTTACGGAGGGGAATAAAGTAAGGATATTTGCCAGCTCCTATGGCTCTGGTTGAGTGTCAACCAAGGAACCCAGAGGTCACTGGTTCAATTCCCAATCAGGGCACATGCCAGGGTTGTGGGCTCAGTCCCCAGTAGGGTGCATGCAGGAGGCAGCAGATCAGTGTTTCTCACATTGATGCTTCTTTCTCTCCCTCTCCCTTCCTCTCTCTGTAAAAAAACAAAAAACAAAAACATTTAAAAGAAAAGGGGAGAGGGATATTTGGGTTTGTCTGTAGTTGGGCAGAGCTCTGTAGGCATGAGGTCAAGTGTAGGGTGGTAAAGGGTTTGTAGGTCAGAGAACCCAGTAGGGTAACAGTCTGAACTGAGTTAGGGTCTTTTGTTTAGCCACTCTCACCTCCCATCCCATGTTGTGTATCTACTAGAGCTTGCTGTAAGGAAGCACACATTAATTTTTTTTTCAAGTGAGACAGTAGTCTGCTTGGGCTTGGGGCCTGAGAAAAAACACAGGAAAGGTCAGCTGAGGACCAGTTAGCATCCTCTGGGTGTCTGATCTGGTACCAAGCCCTGCTAGATTAGGGCTATCCCCACAGCTGATCCTGTGATCCTCTTAGAGACAAATGGGATTAAAGGTAATCTAATCCCATGAGCTGGGCTTCCCCATGTGGGGCCAATAAGAGCTGTCATCCAGCCCTGGTCTCAAGCTGAGACTGACCACAAGAGGGCCTGGAAGAAGCCAACAGATCTTTGAAGAAAATCCATGGGTCCACATCCATGCTTCTAACCTCCACCTGTTCTTTTACGGACCTAGTCTCTTTGGGACTGCTTTTCAGGCACTTCCCACCAGTATTACAATTCTTCAAGACTGATTGGTTGTCAGCTTCCCTGCAACCCTTGCCCAATTTCCTGATGTGAGGACAGGGATCATTTTTTTTTAATTTATAATATATTTTATTGATTTTTTACAGAGAAGAGATAGGGATAGTTAGAAACATCGATGAGAGAGAATCATCGATCAGCTGCCCCCTGCACACCCCCTACTGGGGATGTGCCTGCAACCAATGTACATGCCCTTGACCGGCATGGATCCTGGGACCTTTCAGTCCACAGGCCGACGCTCTATCCACTGAGCCAAACCAGTTTCAGCAACAGGGATCATCTTATGTGCTCCCACAGCCTGTCCCTATTGAAACACTCATCACATTACGTGGCAATTGCCTGATTACACATCTGTTCCTCCCACCAAAGCATGAGCTCCTTAAGGTCAGGGACTCTTACTCAGCAGAATACAATATGTAAGGAATTATAAGGGATCAGCTCCACCGTGTCCCCACCTGCTTTCCCCTTCACTTGTTAATAAAATAGGAAAATGATCCCTAACTTGAAGTTTTCCCAGAGATTCTCTGGGAGGTCCAGTATTAGGGTAATGTTAATATCCTAATGATAACACTATGAACCTAATGATGCCAATATTGTCTTATTCTGAGTCTGAGAAAACAGGCTCAGAATTGAGTGAATTGCCAAGGCAGTGTGACAAGGAGTATCAGAACCCAGATCTTTGAACTCCTACGTTCAGAGCTGCTTCATCTGTTTTAGTTCTTAAAATTCAGTGCAGCTTCTCCTGCAGGCAGGCTAGGTCTTGTTATCTTCCTTTTTCTAAATAGGAAACCCAAGTTCCTAATTCACACATCTAGAAATGATAGAGCCAGGATATGTGCCCACGTCTGCCTGACTCCGAGCCTCATGCTCTTTTCTGTACGGTGCTGCTTCTTTCTCAGCACAGGAGGGTTTGGGCTGTTGGAAAATGGGCCAAGAGTGGATGGATAATTGGGAAGGGGAGAATCAAAGCTAACTTATCTTACTCAGCTGGTGTGGCTCAGTGGTTGAGCGTCAACCTATGAACCAGGATGTCACGGTTCAGTTCCGGTTGGGGCACATGCCCGGGTTGTAGGCTCGATGCTCTGTGTAGGACATGCAAGAGGCAGCCAATCAATGGTTCTCATTGATGTTTCTTTCTCTCCCTCTCCTATCCTCTCTGAAATCAATAATAATAATATATATATATATATATGGAAAAAAATAAAAGGTAACCTAGCTTTTTTGCTACCCACCTTTTCCCACCCAGGGTGTGGAAACAGTGCCCTGAGCTACCAGCTATACCTTGGGGGCTTCCCTGATGTGACCAGTGTGGATTACTCATCAGTAGTGGTGGACGCCATGCGGGCTCGCTATGCTCATGTGCCCACGCTGCACTGGGAGACCATGGACGTACGGGCACTGGGCTTTCCCAATGGTTCCTTTGATGTGGTGCTCGAGAAGGGCACACTGGATGCCCTGTTGGCTGGAGAACGGGATCCCTGGACCGTGTCCTCTGAAGGTGTCCACACCGTGGACCAGGTGCTGAGTGAGGTGAGAGAGCAACAAGAGAGGAGCTGAGGGGTTGAGGTTTCAGGAGATTGGATGGACTTAGAAGCCAGAGGAGGCATGGTTTGGAGCAGTCACTTTCAGGACTGTGGTTACCTGAATGAAGGGGAGAGCTACGCTGGTCAAGATTATAGGAGGCTGGAGTGGCCAGGTTCACAGAGCTGATGGTTGGCTACTGGGATGCCGTAGGCATGGCATAGTAGCCAGGTTCCACATAGGTAATAGACCGGGAGGGTGGGCAATTGGCAGGAAAGCAGTGCCCCCTGGCTTGACATCACTCCCATGCTCCTACCTGTCTAGAATATAGCTCTACCCCATGGAATGACCAGGGACACAGAAGGAGGCTCAATTTGCCATGGAGAGCTGGATGCAGTGTAGTATCTGGGAGGTCAACTGGGACGATACTGACCTTTGAGAACCTGAAGATGGACTCCTTACTAATGGCTTCTCTGTTTACCTTGCAGGTGAGCAGAGTGCTGGTCCCTGGAGGCCGGTTCATCTCACTGACCTCTGCTGCCCCCCATTTTCGGACTAGACACTATGCCCAATCCCATTATGGCTGGTCCCTAAGGCATGCAACCTATGGCAACGGTTTCCACTTCCATCTCTACATCATGCACAAGGGCAAAGAGCTTAGTGTGGCCCAGCTGGCTCTTGGGACCCAGATCTTCTCATCCCCTAAACCTCCCACCTCACCCTGTTTTCTCCAGGACTCAGATCACGAGGACTTCCTTAGTGCCATTGAGCTGTGAGGCCAGAAGCATGGTCCTTGAGTCCCCCTTACCTTTCTGCCCTGGACTCCTCAAGTTGTTGTAATTCCTGACTCAGGGCTTAGCGTTGGGTCCAAGGTGCGCACATCCCAGGGGCCTGAGGCCTAAGATAGAGCTGATGAAAGCAACCCCACATGAAACAATATAGCCCAGGCTAAGTTACATCTCAAATCACAGGTTTCTGGCTTCCTTCTTGGGTTTCTCAGATCTCTTCTGGGCTCCCCAACTTTCTCTCCCACCATGTTGAATCCACCACAGCCCCTCTGCTTGCCAGCCAGACTCAGAGACCTGCATCCCTGGGGCCTGTTGTTGCCTCCCCACCCCCTTCAGCCTGGACTTATCCACAGGAGGCTGCAGACTTTGCATCTAGATTGCTTTACAATTCTGATCCTAACTCCAACCCCAACTCTGATGACCTGTGCTGTTCTGGTTGTATATTTACCCAAGAATACTACATTGTAATGAAGTTCTCAGGCCAGGCTGCCTGCTGTGTTTACTTGGCAACTCTTCCTTGCCAGCAACATGCACCAGAGATTCTCAAGTACCCATTCCCCTCCCCAAAAGGGACTAGAGCCATTTTTGCCTGACCCCTGAGCAAACGGAAGCAAAAGCCACACACTCAGGGAGGTCTGTGTTTATTCACACACTCCTGGTACAGTGAGGATGGAGGAACATTTACAAAGGACACCCCTGGGTTGAGAACATCTCTAGGGCCACAGGTGTCATCCAAGGGTGCAGATCAATCCCCATTTGGGTTCCCAGGGGCAGGGGGGCAGGGGTCCAAGGTAAAATCAGACCCGGGCCCTTGGAAGGTGATACCTGGAGGGGAGGGGTCTGCCAGAGAGCCGCCTGGGATCAGGCCTGGGCAGACTGGCCACGCGTTGGTTACCATGTTGGGGCTTGTCCATTCCCACCCTCAGCACTCGTCCTATCTGCCAGGCGCAGAAGAGCAAGGATGAGACGGAGGGGGGAGGGCACTAATGAGGGGAGCCAGTAAACAAAGAGTCGGATATAAAAATACAAATGTGCTGAGGAAGTCCCTTAGAAAGAGGCCGAGGCTGGGGTCACGCCAGACAAGGGTGAGGGTGAGGAGCGGCCTGGAGGGCTGGGCTCAGGTGGGTGGGAAGCTCATGCAATTGCGCAGCCAAACATCCCTGGCCGCGCGCGGTCCGACGCGGCTGGCAGCCAGGTCTGCAAGACCGAGCCGGCCGGAGAGGGGCGGGGCTGGGGAGCCGTGCGGGAGGGGGCGGGCCGGGGGCTGCGGGCCGTTCTGGTTGGTGTGCGGAATGGGGCTGCGGCCCGCGGTTCTAAAGTGCATGAGCGCGGCGGTGGGCTCCGGGCGGGTCTGCGCCACCGCTGTGGCCGCCGCCGCCGCGGTGGTGCTGAAGCGGACAGCTCCGGAGTGCCCGGCGGCGGCGGCGGCGGCGACTCCGGCCCGGAGGCGGCGCGGCCCCGCAGCCCCCGCCCGCGGGCGCCTGGGCCCGGGCGGGGGTCGCCGGCAGCTGCATCGCCTGCCCGCGCTCCCGGCCGCTGCTGCGAGGCTGGGCCCGGAGCCCGCCGCCTGAGCCGGCGCGTCTACACTCCGGACGGCGGCTTCTCCCCCATCCCCTTCAGCACGTCGTCTATCCGGTCATCCTCGATCACCACTGCACAGGGAGGGGGAGAGCGCGTCAGCCGGCTCGCGGCCCGGGGGGCGGCGGCCGGAGCGAGCCCGCGTCCTCGGGCCCCGCGCAGAAGCTGCCCGGAGCCCAGCAGCGCCCCTCGATCCCCAAGCCACAGTGCCCCCCCCCCAAACTCTCCTGCTGCAGACTCACCCCACCACCTACCCAGCTCCCACAGCCCCCCCTCTCCCCGCGGAGGAACGCCCCCCTCGTTATAAGGCTCCGGCTCTCCAACCTCCCAGGCAAACCCTCCCGACACCTGAGCTCCCAGCCATTCGAGCTGGTCTGAGAGACCTTTTTGCTCGTGGGATCCCCCTCGCCAACCCTCCCTGCAACGGAACCCCCTCCTCAAACGGAATCTCCAGCTAGTCTAAGCCTCTCCCCAACCTAACTCTCCTGCCATTTGAACCCCTCTTCCGTTCCTGGCACCAAAACAAAGCCCCCTCCCCATGCAAAGCACCAGGATGTCCGATTTCCTGTCTTCTTCTCCTCCCCCCCCCCCCCATGCTCTGCAATCGGACATCCCTCCACACCCGAAGGTTCTTCCGTAGCATCCACGGACTCAGCGTTTGATGCAGAAGAAGCGGCCCGTCTCCCCATGTTCCCCACTTGCAGGTAACCCCAAATGCCCCCGGCCGGTCCCTCCCCCTCGCCCGGGTGCCAGGGCTCTCCTTCTAGAGGTGTTGAGCTTCGAATCCGGGGCATTGCATTCCCGAGAGAGGGAAAGAGGGGGACAGCACTGCAACGGGGACCCCCCACCCCACCCCAATCCCAGCCTGCGAGCGGCGGGCTGCGCTGGTCTGCGGCAGGAGCTGCGGGAGCCCGGCGGGGAGCGGCCTGCGGGAGGCGCCCGCCCGGCGGGGGGTTTCTGGGTCAGGCCGGCCGCCTACCTCTTTTGGCTCGGCCGATCTGGCCCAGCTTGGGGGGTCGCTTGGCTTGATTGCCCGCGAAGAAGGAGTTGGTGTCCTGGAGGCGGCAGCTGAAGGAGAGGTCGGAGCCCTCGGGGTCGGCGCCGAAGCGGCCCATCTTGTCCTCGCTGTAGGGCAGGATCTCGGACATGGCGGGAGCGGGGCGGGCGCGGGACTGCGGCGGGGCGCGGACGGCGGGCTGGCTGCCGGGCCGGCCCTAGCTCAGCGGGGGAGCCGGCGGAAGGATGAAGTCATGCAGCATCCGGGGCTGCGGAGGGAGCCAGCGGGGCCTCCTCCCCCGCGCCTCCGCCTCCCGGGCCGCTGGGCAGGCGGCGGCGGCGGCGGCAGCGGCGGGGACCGCGGGGGCGGCGCGGGGGCGGGGGTGGCGGCGGCGGTGGCGGCGGCGGCGGCGGCGGGAGCGGAATGACGATGAGCGCCCGATGCCGCAGAGCGCGGCGGGCTGGGCGCGGGGAGGCGGGGCGGGCAGCGGCCGGCGGGGAGGGCGGGGCGGGGGCCGGAGAGCGCCGGTCTCTCCCGGGAGGGGAGGGCGGGGACGGAGGGCGGTGGGAGGGTCTTGCCGGAGGCGGGAGCGGCGGCTGGTGAATGACTCCGGCGCGGGCACAGCACCTGCCCGGGAGAGGCGGGGGGAGGAGTGGCGGGAGCGCTCTGGCACCGCGGGGCGGGAGGCCCGGCCAGGAGACTCTGAGCGCCGAGCCAACGGGCCTGGGGATGGGAGGGCGGGCCGGGCCGGAAGGCGGGAGCGGGGCTGCCCTCGGTGTGGGGCGGACACCGGGATGCGGCGCGGGCCGAGGTGTGCGGACTCGGCGCCTCCGCAGGACGAGGCAGCGGCTCGGAGCCGCGGGTGGTACCCTCGCCGCCGGCGGTCTTATCCTGGGTTGCTCTTCGGGTTTTATTATTTTTTAAAAAATATATTTTATTGATTTTTCACAGAGAGGAAGGGAAAAGGATAGAAAGCTAGAAACATGGATGAGAGAGATACATTGACCAGTTGCCTCTTGCACACCCTACACTGGGGATGTGCCCGCAACCAAGGTACATGTCCTTGACCGGAAACGAATCTGGGACCCTTGAGTCCGCAGGTCAACGCTCTATCCACTGAGCCAAACTGGTTTCAGCAGCTCTTCGGGTTTTAAACCGTTCACCCGCAGCCTGTGTTCCTCTGACTGCCCTTCTGTGTCTGCCTCTGCCTCTCTCTATGTCAGTCCATAACGTGTGCCTTCCCGTATCTGCCCCCCTGACCCACCCCTCTGGGCGTTGCGGTCTCCGTCTGCGTTGGTCTTACATGTCTTTGCTCTCCTGCACCCGCCTCCATGCTCGGCCCCTGCACCTATGGACCACTGGGTCTCCATCTCCCCAGTCTCTGTGCATATCGATCTCACCTGGGGGAGGTCTCGGGAACCGGACTGACAAGTGAGCACCAGGACGGATGCGCGCCCCCAGCCCTAACGCTGGCGCCTGATCTCGGGTTCGAAGCGCCCGGCGCGCCCCGAGATCCTCCCAGCCCCGGTGCCCGGTGCCCGGGTGCGCGCGCTGTGAGAAGAATGAATAGTGGCGTCGCCAAGGGCACCCTGGCTCCAGGTGACGCAGGGAAGCCCGGAGCGCCTGAGGACGCCGAGCTTCTGCTTATGTCCACAGTAGAGGGGGGAAGGGGGGACAGAGGGCGCCCCCCCCACCCTTGCGGAAGTGCCTCACGTGACCGTTCTTCCGAACCAACGGGAACACTGCCTCCTCACACCTCCCATGCCCAGCTGGCCGTCCACTGCAGCGTCACCTGCTTGCCAGCGATCAGGGGCCCTGTGGAAATCATTGGCCTTGAAGGAGAGGGGTGATGACTGCGCTGATCAGGGTAATAATCATTTCCTGTGTTCAGTGCACCATTGAGGCGGAGGGGGGAACCCACTATCAGTGAAGCATGTACCCCACACAGACACCCCTGCCACCTCCCACCAAATCACACAGCTAATAAGGCTGCCAAGTACTGAATGTCCTTCCTCCAACAACTCACCACCAAGTGTTAGTCCCTGGAACACAGAGGCGAAGGCAATGGTGGCTGCCCCAGAGACCAGGACTGGTGGTGTGGCTACGGGGGAGGAGGAGGGGTGGGGTGGGGGGGCGGGCGGAAGGAGAGGGAAGAGAAAAGGACGCCAGAGGATGCCTCTGTGCAAGCCTCAGGCAGAGCCACAGATCTGGGGGCCCATCCCTATCAAGCCCTCCTCTGCTGTGTGCTAGTCTGAGATAAGACGGAAGCTGGAGCTGGAGGCCCAGCTGAAGAGAAAGCCCAGAGACCTGGGAGAACAACAGAGGCTGGAGCTCAGGAACACTAAGGAGAGTGTCCAGAAATGTCTCCCTGACTGGAGGTTGTCCAGCAATGGGTTCCAATCCTGGTTCTGCT